GGTTTTATTCACTGCTTCTTCTATTATTGTTTTTCTTCAAGGTAGAGGAAGCCTCTGGTCCTATTAACTCAAGGAACTGATTGACAACCAACTCCAGTATTTCTCTAAGTGGTCAGACATTCAGGCACAAAGTCTGTTTAATTCCAGGATGGAGTTACAGCCTGCTGTTGTCTACCAGTAACAACTGAAAGGAAGTTAGATGGCCTGTTCTTTTTATATGTATGTTTGGAACAATGAGTGGGGGTTAGTAAGAGAGATACTTTATTGTTTCTATAACAGGGAAACTTTTCTGAAGACATACTGTTATGCTTTGGATATGAAGTGTCCTCCAAAGACTCATACATGAGAGGCTTGATCCACAATGGACCAATGTGCAGAGGTGGGGATTTGGGGAAGTGACTGTATAATGAGGGTTCTGGCCTCATTGATGGATTAATCCATTGATAGGTTTGTAATTTGATGGCATTATTAGGAGATAGTAGAAACTGTAATAGGTGGGGCCTAATTAGAGGAAGTGGGTCACTGAAGCTGCACCCTAGAAGGGTTTATCTTGTTCCTGATCCCTTCCTTCTTCTCTCTCTACTTCACTGTTGCCATGAGGGGAGAAGCTTTCCTCCACCACACACTTCTGCCATGATGTTCTGCCTCATCTCAGCAATGGAGCTGCTGACCATGGACTGAAACCTCTGAAACCATGAACCAAAATAAACTTTTTCTCTGGGCTGGGGATGTGGCTCAAGTGGTAGCGCACTCGCCTGGCATGTGCAGGGCGCTGGGTTTGATCCTCAGCACAACATAAAAAATAAAAAAATAAAGATGTTGTGTCCAGCGAAAAACTAAAAAATAAATATTAAAAAATCCTCTCTCCCTCTCTCTCTCTCTCTCTAAAAAATAAATAAATAAAAAATAAATAAATCTTTTCTCCTCTCAAGCTGTTCCTCTCAGCTATTTTCTCTCTGCTGTGAAAAAACAAGCTGTTGTAAGGTGTTTTTAATAAACAATAATATAGATTTGAAACGCCAACTTACTGATGCCACAGTCTGGCTGGGCAATAATTCAGGAGCCACTTGTCAAAAGAAACAAACTTTATTTTTAGAACACACACACCACACCACACAGCTCCTCAGGAAAAACCTTCAGAGCCCAACTGCCACCACCGGCTTCCCACAAGCCTCTCCACCTCCCCCACTCCTCCTGCTCTTGAGGCCGATTGGCTGGGTCACATGGGCGGAGCCAAAAAGAGTCCCCCAATGAGCAGCTCCATGGTCTGAAAGGGTGGGAAAACAGCCCAATGAGCATCACCACAGAGGAGCCAATCAGTTGGCAGCTAGAAGTTTGCTGGGGCCGCTGTGAGCCAATCATCAGCTGGCAGCTGGAAGTTTGCTGGGGCCGCTGTGAGCCAATCATCAGCTGGCAGCTGGAAGTTGGCTGGCAGCTGGAAATTTGCTGGGGCCCCTTCAGCTATGGCTGTCAACATCTCCCCCTCTCTGTTTAAACAACAAGCATGTGGCTTAGGGACCGTGCCTGCCTTAGGTTGTCCATAGTACATATGGTCCTTACCCGTCATCGGATGAGCTGACCTCAAGGCGTCAGCCTCCTGTCTTAGGTTGGTGCCATTGCAATTGGATCTAACCCATCATTGACTACTGGTCCAGCATACAGCCACACCTGTGGATAGGTCTTTGTACCAGCAGGGGGGGTGAGGTTCTTTGCCTCACCTCTGTTGGCCCCCAAATTTTAGCTGAATGACCATGACAAGCAGAAGGGAGGAAGATACACCAAGCCAATTGACGGCTCCTTTTGGAAAAATTGTACCACTGATGACACCATCAGCAAAAATACCCCAACACTACCACAAGTCACTGCACCAACAGATAGTTCACAATGCATACAAGTGAGTTCACAATGCATACAAGTGATACATAGTCCAGGCAAGCAGACAATTGGGGAATCCCCGATTGAGTAAAATATCAGGGCACATACAGGATTGCCTGGAGCCCTTAGTTTGGGCAATGATTTAGCAGATAAAACTACACATGACATACATATTTTCTCTACACTAGAAGAAGCTACAAATTTTCATAAAAAGTTCCATGTCAATGCTAATACTTTATAAAAGCATTTTAAAATAACTAAGGAACAAGCTAGACAAATAATAAAACAATATCAAAATTGTGTGACCTTTTTACCACAAGTTAATCTTGGAGTCAATCCTAGAGGACTGATACCTAACCATATTTGGCAGATGGACATCACACACTTGCCAGAATTTGGAAAATTAAAATATTTGCATGTTACAGTTGATACTTCTTCTGGATTTTTGATGGGCTCCCTTCATGCTGGAGAAAAAACTAAAGATATTATAGCTCATTGCTTACAAAATTTTGCCACTGTGGGCGTTCCAAAACAGTTAAAAACAGATAATGCCCCTGGTTATACTTCTACCTCTTTTAAACAATTTTGCTCATCATTTGGCATTACTCATATAATAGGAATCCCATACAATCCACAGGGACAAGGCATAGTTGACAGAGCTCATCAAACTATTAAAATGTACTTATTAAAGCAAAAAGAGGGAATTGGGAAGGGGTATATATTCCCCAAAGATAAACTTAAAATAACCCTATCTAGAGATAGCAATAGATAAAGTACAATTAAATTTTCCAATTAATTATTTAGGAGTTCTATTATCCTCAACCATGGTCCGTCCACCAAAAATTCAAATACGAGTAGATCAACTCAAATCACTTAACAACTTTCAAAAGTTATTAGGAGACATAAATTGGATAAGGCCTTATGTAGGTATACCAACAGGAGAGTTGGGACCTTTATTTGATATCCTAAAAGGTCCATCAGATCCAAATTCACCCCGCATGCTAACGCCTGAAGCAAGAAAGGCATTAAAAATCATTGAAACATATATGGAAAATATGCATTTGGATAGAATTGATATAAGTTTGCCTTTATTATTTATTGTACTACCAACAAAAAATATTCCTACAGGAGTATTTTGGCAAGAAGGTCCATTATTATGGATACATTTATCTTATTCTCCTAACACTATTCTTACTAGGTATCCTGAGGCTGTAGGACAATTAATACTCAAAGGAATAAAAGCAGCAAAGGGAGTGTTTGAAATTTCTCCCAATAAAATTATTACTCCATATACTATGAATCAAATTGATGAGTTAGCTAATGAGTTAAATACTTGGGCAATAATCATGTGCAAATCTAATGTTTCATTTGATAACCACTTACCATCTAATCCTTTATTGTCTTTTTGGTCATCGCATCCTGTAATTCTTCCAAAAATGACAAGAAAAACACCTATCATGAATGCTCCAAATATATTCACTGATGGGTCAAATAATGGTACAGCAGCAATAGTTACACCTGATCAAACTTTTACATTTTTAGTACCCAAACAATCAGCTCAAAAGGTAGAGCTTAATGCGGTATTACAAGCTTTTGTGATGTTTAAAGATTCTGTATTTAATTTATTTTCCAATAGTCAGTATATAGTTAATGCTATAGTATCCCTTGAAGATGCTGGTAGGATTTCCCCTTCCTCTACTGTTGTCTCTTTGCTTTCCACTATACAAAATCTAATCTGGGACAGAAAAGATCCGTTCTTTATAGGACATATCTGGGCACAATTCAGGAGCCACTTGTCAAAAGAAACAAACTTTATTTTTAGAACACACACACCACACCACACAGCTCCTCAGGAAAAACCTTCAGGGCCCAACTGCCACCACCGGCTTCCCACAAGCCTCTCCACCTCCCCCACTCCTCCTGCTCTTGAGGCCAATTGGCTGGGTCATGTGGGCAGAGCCAAAAAGAGTCCCCCAATGAGCAGCTCCGTGGTCTGAAAGGGCGGGGAAACAGCCCAATGAGCATCACCACAGAGGAGCCAATCAGTTGGCAGTTAGAAGTTTGCTGGGGCCGCTGTGAGCCAATCATCAGCTGGCAGCTGGAAGTTTGCTGGCAGCTGGAAGTTTGCTGGGGCCCCTTCAGCTGTGGCTCTCAACATACTGATATTTTCTTACCTGGTTCCCCACATAAGCCATTGTGGGAACTTATACTTCAACAGGCAGGATGGGTAATGGAATTAGCAGCAGCTAATAACTCTGGGGCAGAAATCTTCACTGTACATTCAAAGCAACACCACCATACTGGTTTCGGGCCAACCCTGTTCACCGTTCTTTGCTGAGCGTTTGCTGTGTATCTGGTAATATATTCAGGGCTAAGGATACAAAGTGAATTAGAGAAACATGATCCCTACTCTCCTGAAGGAGAAACAGATCCAAAAATTTAAATGAAGAAATAAGATAATGACAAGTTTCAAGAAGTGCCATGAAGAAAATCAACAAATTGTAGATAATAGGAGAGACTAACTGTAAGTTAAGGGAATCAGAAAGGATCTTTCTAAGATGGATTTTTCTTTTCTGTAAAATTCTTTCAAATTTTTGAGACAGCAAATGCTTAAGAATAATCATATTCTTTTATGGGTAAAAGATGTGAAGGCCCCTTCCATACCTTCCTAGTCTACTTCTTGACATGGTTTTTCTATGCTAGGAAAAGAGTCCTAGAGTTTCCTGCTTAGAAGTCTTTTGGGGGAGGTACTATTGAAAGATATGCTAGAAAATTTTTGATCTTATGTCATTTCATGAGGAAAAAGCTCTAATTCAAAAATCTGACCTCCAAATTTTTGGTTGCCAACACTTCTAGGTCTCTAGAAAAAAAAGTATCTCTCTTAGCACAGTTGCAGGGCTAGCTGCTACCAGCTACCACCAGGAAGCCAAATACACGTTAATGTTTCCAAAGCTCTGATGTCTGAAAAGACTATCATCAAGTTGCTGTTCTCAAAACCATCATTTCTATCCACCTATCTTCTGCTCTTAACCTCTGTCCAGTTTACTTTCCACCTTCTCTTTAACCCCAGTGGGAAGGGATCACAAGGGTCTACTGAGATGTATGGAACACATGGAAAAGACAAGTACTGATTCTTGTTTATTCAACATTTGAGGTAGAACCTCATTCCCATTCCAAGATGTATAATATTTGACATTCTGAGTAAATAAAACCAATCTATTCAAAATGATGGAAACATTTTCAGTACAACAAAAAGATATTGATCATGCTATAAAAGAGGCATTAGTTTTATTTACTAAATACCTATTTCTGGGTTGGGTGGCAGCCAGGCAGAACTTCAAAAGATGTGAGCCCAACTGGTTTGCATATTGCCTTTTTAATTATAGTTTCTTCAATCTCCCAGGTCTGTAAACATTTACTCAATATTTTACTATGCTTCAAATTTAAGAATATAGTTGTCTCTTAACTAGTTTGTAAACCAAACAGAAAAAACAGTTCTTAAGATGGAGGAGATAGCATCTGATTGACACACTGAACCTGGATTACGTGTTAAATAAGAAATGCCCTCCTTGAGCCAAAATCATTGTGAAGTGAAAAACAAGTGAACTTCTCAGCCGACTATGCATCCATTAAATGTTTGGAAAGCTGCCCTGTTTGCACATGGAATCAGAAAATAAAGTGAAATAAAAAGAATCCATCCCATTCCTCTAATTTCATCGTCTTGCTACAGCCATCATCCCCAGGGCTTTCCTCTAACCCAGTTGCCAAGGAGGCGTGCGGGGTTATCCTCTCTGAAACACCATTAACCATTCAGCGGGTCCTCTTGGGGATGCTCCAAAAGCATTCTATAGGGAAACTGGCTGCTTCTCTGGGCTCATCATATGGAAAGTATATTTCTCAACACAGCTGGCAAACAAATCTCTTTGAAGGAGATAGCCAAGAGGCCTGAGATTGGCCCTCATATGATGAGTTCAGCATCTTTCACTCTCCCCAGCCTATAATATTCTTCCTCCCTTGTAGTTATTTATTATTGTTCAATATTTATGCAAGCTATAAATGTGCAGAGTACTGCACAATATCACAGAGAAGGCCAATAAAGACACCTTCTCCTAAGGAATAGAAAGGGACCCACAAGTCAAGTTCATGGGCAAAGGCTTCCCTGAAGAGTGGAAAGCAGGGAAACAGTGGAGAGCCAAAGTTATGTAGTGTCAGGGACCCAGGGTAGGATCGAGTATAATATGTTCTGCTGGATCAGAGCTCCTCTACCCCTGCAGAAGATTTAAGGAGGCAGGGACTTGACCTCTCCATGCCTTTGGCTATCCACACTTGTTTTGTAAATAGAGGTATAAATATTGGTTCAGAATTAAGACATGCACCATAAACTACAACTCATATTCCTAAGCCACACTGAAGGTAGTGGAAGCTATTCAAAGAGCAAGACTTTATCAAGTGGTGTTTCTAATCTGGGGTACATTAACCATGGAAAAGTCCCACCAATGCTTTCTGTATCATATTTGAAAATAAACTGCCATTCTGCCAGTCTCCAGCAAGCATGTCTTCTGTCTATCAGGAAAGGACTTCAATAAAGTCCAGGCCATGGAAAAACTATCCAAGATCACAATATCAGCAAATGACAGAGCTGAGGTCCACATTCCCTCCCTCAAGGTCACTGTTCCCCCTGGTGGAACTTCCACCTGTCTGCTCCTTCTTGGTTGCTCTAGGTCTTAGTTTCTCAGGTTTCTTTCTTTCTCATCAACTCTTTCCTCTGTTTTCCCCTAAATGGCTATCCATCTTTCACCTTAAACTTGAGGCTTTCTCTCGCCCCTGTGGATCTTTATTTCTCTATCTTGGAGCCTCTCTGATTTTTATTTCTATGTTCTTCCAGCCATTTTTTCTCACATCTCTATGTGGTGGACTCCACCATCTCTCCAGCCCTTCACCTAGGAGAGAGAAAAGCTTGTGAATCCTGAGTCAGACAAGCATGGAATGAAATATCAGCAATGAAACATACCACGTGTGAGGCCTTGTGAAGCTCTCCAGAACTATTTTTCATCTTTCACATGAGGATAATACTTACTGCATAGCTGAAGCAGAGATTCTGTTTGTGGTCTAATGTCTGTTCTCCTCTTTCTTACTAACAGAGCCCTAATTTATAGCTGAGTACAGTATAGCCAAGCTAAAATACCATTATAAACCTCTGTTTCAGTTTCATGTGACCACGCAATTATGTCTCAGCCAATGAGACATAAGCTGAGGTGTCAGCAGGATCATCCTTTATTCTACTTTCCTCCTTCCTAATCCTAGAATACACATATGATAGCTCCGCTTCATCAGCTGTTTTCTGTCTTGAGGAAAGCTTGAGAGTGGAAGCCATGTGCCAGAGATGGCTGAGCAGCAAGACACATAACTGGATCATTAAAGAGACTTCAAAGCTAATGAAGGTAGGGGAAGCTATTCAAAGAGCAAGTCCTTACAAATCTAGCTTAGACCACTACTTGTCAAGTTTTTCTCTCAAATACAGATGGAGCCAAATCTAGCCTATATATTGTAATTATTCCTCCTTTTTACTTGGAGAGGATGCTACAGAAGAGATAAAACAGCCACTGTTCCTGGGAAAGCAACTGTAAGCAGAAAGGAGAGAAATCTCTCTCTCTAACACTTTAATTTCCCATGCCTCCCAATGGCCCAAACCTAGCCAGAGGACATCTTCAAGGAAGCCTAGGAAATTCCTGGCAGGGGAAAGCCCCCTTCAAGGCAGAACAGAACAAATAAGGGCCAGACAACAGATCTGGGTACACACAGACAAATGACGTGGCCTTCCCAGAGACTGTGAGGTGAATGAAGACTTGTATGTGGAGAATTTAGCACAGTGCCTGTCACATATCGACTTTCTGTATATGCTGGCTCCTCCCCCTTCATTGACTTCGATTCCATCATAGATTCACAACATTCATCTCTACATCTCTCCAGACAGATGCTCCAGACCTACTCGCTCTGTCCAAGGCAGAACTCAATTCAACACCCTCTGCCTCTACAAAATTCCCTTACACCTGTGTTGCAACACAGGCAATAGGATCACTTGCATTTGAATCTCTCAGTGTTGAAATCTTCCAATCCTCTTAAACTCTTCCCCATATCCATCAACTTACCAAAACACATGTTCTGCCTCTATGGGTTCCCTAGATATCCCCTCCTATTTGTGGCCATGAATTGAAATCACCTTTAGTATCACTGTATCTTCTTCTCACATTCTTGGTCCTTCCCTGTTCTCATCTCTCTCTTCTTCATCACCAGTTACTTTTCTCCCCCCTTACATAAGGTTTTGAATTATTGTAGCTCAGACACAACCTCTTGGCCCCTTTTTGCCAAGAAGTTTTTTTTTTCAGTCAACTAGCAAATTGCTAATAAATCAAGTTTATGAAATAAAGAATTTGTTGTCCCCATTCATATTCTCTTGCTACACTCCATGTGTGACCTGTCTTCCATGGCTCATCCATTGGGGGCAGTGGGGAGAGGGTAGGCCATCACTAAAATCTCTGAAATAGTAATCCCACCACAGCTATGTCCACATGATCATAGTATCTTCCTGATCAAAACTCTACAGGTTTTTGATAACTAGTCACAACAGGAGGAAAAGAGCTTGCCTTATAAAATTTGTTTCCTTTATTCTAATTTGTTACATATGACAGCAGAATGCATTATAATTCATATTACATATATACAGCATAATTTTTCTTATCTCTGATTGTATATAAAATATATTCACACCATTGGTGTCTTCATACATGTACTTAGGGTAATGATGTCCATCTCATTCCACCATCTTTTTTACCTCCATGCCCCCTCCCTTTCCCTCCTACCCCTCTACCCTATCTAGTGTTTGTCTAATCCTCCCATGTTCCCCCTCCCAACCCCACTATTAATCATCATCCTTATATCAGAGAAAATATTCAGCATTTGGTTTTTTGAGATTGGCTAACTTCACTTAGCATTATATTCTCCAACTCCATCCATTTACCTGCAAAGGCCATGATTTTATTCTCTTTTTTATTCTCTTTTACTGCTGAGTAATGTTCTATTGTATGTATGTGTGTGTGTGTGTGTATGTATGTGTGTGTGTGTGTGTATGTGTGTATATATATATATATATATATATATATATATCACATTTTCTTTATCTATTTATCTACCGAGGGCACCAAGGTTGGTTCCACGGTTTAGCTATTGTGAATTGTGCTGCTATAAACATTGATGTGGCTGTGTCCCTGTGGTATGCTGTTTTTAAGTCCTTTGGGATAGACTGAGGAAGAGAGAGCTGGGTCAAATGGTGGTTCCTTTCCCAGATTTCCAAGGAATCTCCATACTGCTTTCCATATTGGTTGCACCAATTTGCAGTACCACCAGCAGTGTATGAGTGTGCCTTTTTCCCCACATCCTCACCAAAACTTTTTGTTTGTGTTATTAATAGCTGCCATTCTGACTAGAGTTAGATGAAATGTTAGAGTAGTTTTGATTTGCATTTCTCTAATTGCTAGAGATTTTAAACATTTTTTCATATATTTGTTGATTGATTATATATCATTTTCAGAGTTTAGTACCTTGGCCCATTTATTGATTGGGCTATTTGATAAAATGTAATTTTTAATGTTAATTTGTAATTTAATACTTCTAACAATAAGAAAAATATTTGTTGCCTCATGATTCATGAAATGGTAAGTGTGATAATAAGTGTGATAATTAATTTTGGCTATCAACCTGGCTAGATTGAAAAAAAGCCTAGAAATTTGGTAAATCATGACTTCTGGGTGTGTCTGTCAGAGTATTTCCAGTGATTCACGTGTAAATGAGCAAAGTGAGTAGGGAAGACTTACCCTCCGGGTGGCAGTCAGGCACGATCCAGTTGGCTACGGGCCTAGTTTCTTAGAGTGAGCCAAGCTACTACCCAGTTCTCAGGCCCTCCACCTTGCAGATGCCACCATGGAACTTTTCAGTTTCATTAACAACATGACCTAATAACATATTCACATTTTAAATATCTATCTATCTATGTACACACTATATACATACATACACATAAATACATATATATATATATATATATTGTTCCCCAACAGAAGACCTTAACTAAACTAGTAAATAAAGTGTCCTCACTGGGAATCTTACAGAACATGGAACAAATGATCAAAGAATCTTTCTACCCTCATTTTACACCCTAGCATATGGGATCCAATATTTGAGACTTACCCGGATTTAGCAAGTGCTCAACAATACTGGTGGCATAACCGTGTACCCTATTGTATCTCATCTCTCCCCGCATGTCTATTGTTTTGGTTACAGCCTGCCTTCAATTTCAGCATGTCAGTTCATGTTCCCAACCCCTAACAGGTAGTGAATAACAATATATCCTATTAATCTTGGCAGTTCCCATGTATCTAAGAGAGAACTTGAAATACACAGGTTCGTTAGAAATATTTGTGAAACTGAATAATTTATCTACTTCTTTGGTGGTCAAGAGAAAGATTTGAATATACTTTTCTTTCTTCCTAAAGAAAAAAATCAATACTTGAGGAGTCTGTGCTATGTATACAAGCCAGAAGTTCCTGACAGTCAAATCCAATCAAATTTGGATTTCTACATTCCTCAAGTACATTGTAAACTATAATAACTATTTCCATGGTTAGTGATGCATGTCACTAACTGCTTGCCTTTAGTACAAAAATGGGATATTCATAATGTCAAATTTTAGAAATAATACAAATATTTTTATTATGTGAGAAATAATCTTATTTAAGTCCTCTTTGCGAAGGATTCTTTTCAAAAACTAAATCAAAATTAATTTGGGGTATCATGTGATTAATGAATATAAGATGCTTGCAAAAACAATTATTGCTTTCAATATTTACTTTTTGGGGGGTGGGGGTACCGGGTACCAGGGGTTGAATTCAGGGGCAATTGACCACTGAGCTACATCCCCAGCCCTATTTTGTACTTTATTTAGAGACAGGGTCTCACTGAATTGCTTAGCATCTCACCTTTGCTGAGGCTGGCTTTGAAGAACCTGTGGTCCTCCTGCCTCCACCTCCCCAGCTGCTGGGTTTACCAGGTGTACACCACCGTGACCGGCTCAATATTCACATTTAATAATTTTAATAAATAAAAGTGAATGTGGAAAAAAAAAAGCCCTTTACTTAGTAACAATTTGGCCAATGGTAACATTGTGAGGAATTAAACTATACATTTTAGGATTTTGTTTTAAAGGTAAAAATGTACTCACTGCAGGAGAAATTAAGTTTTTTAAGAATGGAATGTTAATGTTAATGGAATGTTAATGGTGACGCATGCCTGTAATCCTAGTGACTCAATAGACTAATGCAGGAGAGGAGAGGATGGCAAGTTTGAGGCCAGCCTCAGCAGCTTAGTGAGACCCTGTCTCACAATAAAAAGTAAAAAAGGACTGGGGACGTCACTCAGTAATAAAGTATTACTGGATTCAACCCCCAGTACAAAAAAAAAAAAAAAAGAATCAAACAGGAGACCTATCCCTTGAAAATGATGATGAAGAATTAAAGAAAGTATTTATACTAATTTATATAAGATGAAGTTCAAGAAATAAGGAAGATATTTCTCTATTCTATCCATGCATCTTTGTCAACATAAAATCTGTCTTTCAAAGTTAAGTTCTGAAACTTTTGTCCCTCACTCCATCTTACACTCAGCTGCCTGCCCCTCTGACTTGCCTTCATGGTGCCACATCTCACCCTGAATGGTAATAATACTTCCCTGGTGGCCCCACCTTTCTCTGGAATTAAAACTCTAGGCTCTGCCTTGTGCTCGCTGGTTCTGTACAAAATGCAGACCCAGGAGGGTCTGCTTTGGGAGGTGCAGCCAGGGCCTGCTAGCTGCTCCTGCTCCCACTCTCCTCCTGAATAAGTCAAGTGGGACCAGCAGGCCAGCCTTTCCACTCAGCCTGTCTGCAGAGGGATTGGGGGGAGGCACCACATCGATTTCCATTTCATCTTTGCTGTTACAAAAGCTCATTGATATCCATCAGGGCCTCAAAACAGGCCTGTTAAAAGCATCTTTGGTGCATCAGTCTTCATTGTGTGAAACTGTTCTGAACATAATAGGATGTCTCACTTCTCTGCCTCCTCTCATTACATTCAAGGAATGCTCCCAGACATTAGTGGTAATGGACCCTTCCACACATTCCCCAACCCTCTACAAGGATGAGATAGGCCTTGTGACTAGGCCTCCTTTTGGTCAAAAATTAAAACTGGGGACAGCTGAATCTTAACATCCCACACAAATAGTAAATTATATATTTAAATAGTGGTATTGGTGCTGCTGCTGTCAATATGGCAGGAATGATTAAGAAAAATAAATCATTTTTACTTTTCTGGGACATAGAAGGCACAATTTAAAAATGACTCCTGTTCCACACCAAATTAAAAAAAAAAGTTCAAAGGAAAATATTATCTCTACTTAGGAGATTTACTGCTTCATAAACTCAAGAAATGGCAAGTGGAGTGTGCTCTTAGAGTCTTTTAGACCTCACCCCCATATTCCCCATCCCAAAAATGCACACGCAGAGGGAATGGTTTCCACTATAGATGAGTTATTTGCATTCATATGGACAATTTTGACAGTGGCAGAAAGGAAGGTTTTATTTGAGGGAAATGCATGCTGAAGACCAGCTTTTCAGGCAAATGCTTGTTAGTGTTGTGCTGCTCCTTGGGGGACAAGGAGGCATATCCTGAGGTTTAAGATTTAATGAGTATTCTTGGAGAACAGACCAAACTGTGGCCACAGAAGATAAATTACAGGCAATTAGGTCTACATATGATCCGTTATCCAGCATGCTAAGCCTCACTCACAACCTGTCTTCAGATTCACGTTTTTCTGCAAAAAGCAAACCTACTCTGCTTCTGAGAACATAGTTTACTGAAAAGAAATTTCTCTGAGTTGATACCCAGAAGTCCAGCCATAAACAAACCCAGATTATATTTGCAGGCAGCAAGGATTGGGTTACCGATTCCTTCCGGAGCATATTTGTTACAATCCTGTTGAAAGTCAGCTGGGCTGGCAAAGAAGCTCTCATTTGCAAAGTAGAAAACTGAGGGTTGTGCCAGTGGACAAGGCTACAGAGCCAGCAGGTGTTTTCAGCAATTACCAAACACTGACTCTCAACCTGGCTGCATCAACATCACCTGGAGAGAATGCTGGAAATACAGCTTTCCTGATTTCTATCTGTTTTAGACTGAATTATGTCCCCTACCTCTAATTTGTACCTTTGTATACCAGACACCAAGTACCTCAGAATGTGACTGTAAATGAAGACAGGATCTTTAAAGAGGAGCTTAAGGCTAAATGAGGTTATTGGGGTGGACCCTAAATATGACCAATGTCCTACCCAGAAGAGATTAGGACACAGATAACCTCAGAGGAAAGCTCATCTGAAGACAAACAGAAGACTGTGTCTTTTTCTTTTTTAATTGATTTTTTTAAAAATACACAACAGCAGAATGCTTTACAATTCTTATTACACATATAGAACACAATTTTTCATATCTTTGTATATAAGGCATGTTCACGCCAATTCATGTCTAACCTCCACGATCATACCTTGGGGGAGTGGCATGTCTAGGGACTGGAAGTCCAAGGCCACTCCCCAAGGTATGATCGTGGAGGATTACCATGCCCAGCTCAATTCAAGAAGACCAAGGCTATATTGCTCAGGAGTTTGCTCTGCATGGTCTAGTTGAACATTTGCTTTTGGTTAACCTGCAGAGATGTCTCATGTGAAAAGATCTTGAGTCTCCAGAATCCAAACATGCACAAGAGACAATTGTTTGGCTGGTCAAGTGCCTAAGCCTGGAAGGAAATTATGAACCCCCTCAATCCCCATTATTTGAATTATCCAGTTGGTTTCCTAACATCATGTTTCACGATTAGTGCTCCCTGCCCATAAGATTTGCAACTTTGCATTTTATTTGTCTAGAAGCAAATCTGACCAGTAATACCTCCTATCTGGGCACAGGTACAAGTGTTTCTGTGGCCCAACCCCACCCCAATTACCACCATCTAGTTACTACTCACCTACTGAATTTCCCAGTCCTGTATTTATTTGTTAAATCAATAAGTATTTATTGAATACCTATTATAAGTTAGGCACATTTCACATCCTAGACACACAGTAGTGACTATAGCTTACTAAATTCTTGGTCTCACAACCAATTTCTTGTGGTAAAAAGACAATAGTAAAATAAGTAAATATGAGAACAATTTAAGATAAATTCTGTAATAAAAATAAAGCAGGGTGAAGAAATAGAGCAGTGGACCCTGAATCCACAGAAGGAGCATCATGTGGGAACATGTAGAAAAGCAAATTCCCAGGCCTCATGCAACTCTTTTTGCATCAGATACTTAAGGGTGGGACCCAGCAATCTGGTGCATGCTGAAGTTTGAAAACCATGCTGCAGTAAAGAGTAATGAGGGGAGAATTCTCTAGAATGATAGTTAGGAATAACCCCATTATTGTGGAGAGATGACATCTGACTGAGACCTGAATGTCACATGAACCAGGATATATCTTAGTCTAAATTCTCCATCAATATCACTTAAGCTTTCCTAAAGTCTGTGGTCTTTACTTCATGCTTACCAAACACTTTCTGTTATACTTTCCCACTGACGCTGGCTTCATAGGTGTGTGACCAGTGCAGTTGCACAAGTCCCTGTGCTCAGCAGGGTCCCACACTTAGTTTAATGCTCTGGTTTTGCCACCTTGAAATTCTGTAATTTTACCTTTGAACTTGTATTTTATAAATGCAATCCAAAAAGCATGGAGCAGATATGGGCAGTACATGTGCCTTCCAATTCACAAAAATGCATTTGCATTCCCATGAGCACATGTCTGGAGGACCTGCAAAGTATGGACATTCAGGAAGAGTCAACATGCATTTAGTAAGTGTGCTACATCTATGGCTGAGTAAGCAGGGCAATGACAGTTCTCCATTCTGGCCTGAACTTTCTTCAAACACAGAAGGAATACAACAATATTCTAAGAAACAAGAACTACTCAGGAACCCCATTGTATTTTTTTCTTCTTCTGTTATTTTCCTGTGTTCACCAACCATGAATGATGGAAAAGAAAGTAAACAGGAAAACTAGTAGTTTATTTTCTTTTCAGTTCTTTCTTATCCTTCAGGGAGCCAAAGTGGGAAATCTTGGCACAATGTGAGTGGATCAAAAAATGAAGAAAAAACAATTGAGTTAGTTTTGTACAGTGATTCTACTCTCTGGTAAGAGCAAAATGTATATGTCAGCATGAGCTCTGAAATCATGATTTCAAAGATTCCCAGTATGAGTTACATCTTATTAAATTACACTTAAAACTATCATTGTATAATATAAATAGTAAAATATATATATATATATATATATATGTAGTAGTTTAAATTTATAATTTTTATTTAAAGTGACATTAAACAGCAAATTTAAAAGTATATGACAAGTTGAGAGAAAGACTATGGAAGAAAGGGAAGAGATTTATATTTTAATTCTCTCGGTGAAAAATTTTTTTCCAGGTTTTAAACAAGGAGTCTTACATTTTCATTCTTACTGGGCTCCAGAAACTCTGCAGCTGGCACTGTTTGCAATTAGAAATCTTCCATAAAGAAGCCGGCACTCACCCGCTGGCATGAGCATTCCAAGATATGCAGCAGCTGTATTTCCCTTTGTCACAATTGGGCCATCAAGTTGGGCATCCGCCCTGGGGAAGGTGCCAGGCAGTACTTCTTGTCAGAAGAGCACAGCTGCATCCATATCAGAGAGGAAGGTACAGTCTCTGTAAGTCAAAAAGGCAACTTTTCTCCCCAGCTCTACCTGTACCCCATGATAGTAGCAGCTTCTTTAGTCACAAGATAGTAGTTTCCAAGTCTGAATACAATTCTGAACCTCAAAAGAATTGACCTCTCTCGGGAGAGCCTGGGGCCACTTCTTTACAAGGCAAGGATGTAAATGGGACTAGCAACCCAGACACTGACTGGAAGAATAAACCCAGCATGAGAACATTAGCTAATTGACTAGGGCTTGTGAACACAGCCCAGTAAGATTTGAGGAGTGAGGATCCCATAGGTTTAAAATGATGAGGTTTGAGGCCCCTGTCATACTTCTACCTTCTCCTACAAACTTAAGTTGTACCCACATTTAATGGAAATGAGCTCCCCCTACTCTAATCCACTGCAACTTCCTGGCGTGCCTTTACCAACCATCCAATTCATGGTGGGGAGGAAAAGTTACCTTCACTTTGCCTGCTCAGGATTCAACATTGAACATTAAGGGGAAAATTCACTTACAGGCAGTTCCAAGACCTGGTGTGTGTCACCTCACACGATGGGATCCATCACCCCAGCCACTAGGATTCATGAGAAATCTGGAATCCTTCTCACACGTGGAGCCAGACAAGGCACAAAGGCTGTTTTCATGAACTTCAGCAGGTTTACGAGGCTAAAAGCGCCAAGATTTCAGGGTTACAGCACTATCCCACTCATTTCTTATTAAGATACTCCTTCATCATTGGAAATTCCTTTTAGTCCCAAATGACTTAAGTCCTGTTATTGAGCCATTAGTTAAAAGAAAAAAAAACTTAGAACCCAAATCCTTACCTCCCCCATCAAAACCATTAGCTTTTGGAGATCCATTTTTTACAAGTTGTCTAAATGCTGACTCCTGGGAATATGCTGTTCTATTAGGTGAAAACATGAGTAATGGATTTATTTTTCACCCTCAAAATAAAAAAAAAATAAATACCTTTAATTTAAATGTAATGTGAGGGAAACATTCTGGAAGAGTTCAAAGATACACTTTCTCCCCAACTCTGCTACAAAATACAGAGCTGCCTCTGGCATTGACCTTGCAAAGAGGTTGGAGGCCAGAGGAATGCCAGGAGCTGGAGTGCATGGCAGAGACAGGCTCTGCTCTTAGCCAGCCTTTTCTGCCCAACTAGCTTTCTCTGTCTGGCTCTCCATTTTTTCATCTTCAAATATGGACTAGGTCAGAGGTTTTCCAATTATGCTCCATGGAGTTCTTAATAAACAGGTTGTCAAACCTTACTTAGCAGAAAGAGTCACCTGGGAAGCTTGTTCACAGTCTGGATTCCTACCTCCAAGTCTCTGATTCAGCAGGTCAGGGAGGGAAGAGGACTCATTTGCCTAAATTACTAAGAAACTCTTTGGCTAATTCTTTTACTAGGATTATTGATGTGCCTCAAGTTGTGCAGAGAGAGGGTAGATATGAAAGGGTCTACCCCTCTCACCACCATATCAAGGAGAGCATCCCAGCTTTCCTGTGCATGATAACTAAGCACCTCATAAATTCTTGCCTGATAAGAGACTCAGAACCTAGCAAAAAGAATAAAAAAAACCAGGACTGAATGTCTTATAATGCTCTGTACAATGCCAATGTCTAGGACTCCAGAGGATGGGTTTAACTTGGGGCAGGTACATGTAGTACATTAGCAAACTCCTCTCTCCCAATGGGAAACTTCCAGAGTACATCAGAGGGAAATATTTCTCCTAGACTCCAGGGCATAAATCAAGCAAGTCTCCTTCCATAGTTGGAAAAATAATAATAGAGGCATTTCTCTTTAAAATAATTATTTCAAACAATTACTGTTGTGGATTGAAATATATTTCTCAAAAAAAAGTTATCCTAATCCCCAATATCTCAAAGTGAGACCTTACTTGCAGATGTGATAAGTTAAGATGAGGTCATGCTGGAGAAGGGTAAGCCCCTTAATCTGATTAATATGTCTATACCAAGACAATGTGGAGAAAAAGGGGAGAATGCCACATGACAGGGGAGGCAGATGTCTGTGACATCAGGAACAAAGAGAAAAATATGAAATATTCTCTTTCTGACACCTTGATTTCAACTTCCAGTCTCTGGCACTATGAGGATTAATTTCTGTTATTTATCTGCCCAGTTTATGGCATATCCTCATTGTGGTAATCACAAGGAAACTAACACAATTATTCAATTTGCAGATGATAAAAATGATTCTTGCAAAGGTCACTCTTTTATCTTAATTTGAGTTGTAGCACAGGAGTATGGCAGGTTATCCAAACTCTGCCCAGGCATCTATGAACCTTGTACTTACCATCATTCAAAAGCAACAAGGTCCATCTCTACACTGGCTCTCAATGGGTTGTTACAGCAATCTCCAGGTCACAGCAGGTTGTGTGGCCCCATCACCCTTGTATGTCTCATCCTTTCACAAAAAGAGGTCATTAATTACTTTTAGGCATGAAGTCTTTAAAAAAAACTGTATAAAAAGGAGTAAGTGTAGAAGTGCTCCAAAAAGTTCATGTTTCTCTGGGGGTGGGAAAACATTGTGCATTCTGAAAGTTCTGTGGAAATAGGCAACATTTCCATTTAGGGTATCAAAAAAAAAAAAAAAAAAAACTTTCCATTTTTAACTCATTGAATAACATTGGAATTAAAAATGCCCTGTCAAAATACCCCTTCACTGGTACTTATCAGCCACTATAGTCAAATAAACCTCTTATTATTAAAAAGCATAAAATGAATTTTAATATATTTTAAAAGTAGTATATGTTTGAATAGTGCCTTAATTTTTATAAAAGATTCAAAGGGAAACCTGTATTTCACACTTAAGACATTTATTTTTATTCTGAAAGAAAATACAATAAATAAGAATCCAATATTAGAAAAAAGATGTCCTAGTCCAATCTGATAAGTAAAACTAAGGGTGGCAGCTCTATTTTACATGTCAAAAATATACATGATCTAATGTAAAAGCTTTTTCATTCTGCTTTAAGATTTAAAACATTTTATCAAACATGTCATGCATATCTACAAATATATAAGATGAAAAATAAAAGGAACACTGGCATTCTTCCCATCTGGCTTGTGATATAGGTTGTTAACTGATCAATAAATCCCTGTGAAATATTCCCCTGCTGGATGAATCTCTTCCCTCCCTTGCTATTCTGAATTTCCTACTTTAATTTTTGGCAAGCACTAACCTGAGGTCTACAATCACATTCAGATAAGTTCCATTGTTTATACTAAGAAGTGTTTTCCCCTTGAACCTTGGCTTAAGCAAATTTGTTACATGGCAACTCAGACTCTCAGCAGTATAAGTTGGAGATAATAATCTCTAACAAAAAATAGTTCATATGAAACTCTTTTAAGTAACACCTGACATTAATATATTTAAATTCTGATTCAACAAACATAAATTCTGTTGTCATAAAACTTTCAGTACCTCTAGTAATATATAAATTGAAGTGCGAGGATTTGTATTTTCATGTACGTTCATTTGTTCCCCAAACTCTCAATGTATACCCACAGTGTGCCAAGAACCACTTGGCACAGGGAAACAGGAGAGTAAGATGCAAGCCTTAACATCAGAATACTTCATACAATCACATCTCATAAACAAGTACAATAGAAGTGAAGGAAATTGATACTCACTTTTGGAAAACAAAAACCTTGATAGCATACCGAGATTTTCCTAATGGCTGCATAAGAGTTAGCCTAGTTCTTGTACTTCTCTCCCCTCCTGTTTCCTGAACAAAAGGAAGGGACTGGGTCCGCCTGCATGCAGAGCAGGGAATCAACCCAACAGAAGAGTTGCGATTGCTGATTCAGAATGATCTGTAATATTGAAGAAATAAATGCATGTTTACCTTGCTGTGACCATTATACAATGTATACATGTACCCAAATATCACATGGTACTACTTAAAGTGTGTATAATATTTATGTTTTTGTGTTTCAGCAACAAATTTTTTTAAAAATGATTTAGGAAGGTCAAGGAACTACAGAGCTGAATTTTCTCCTTTACATGAAGTAAATCATAAATTTCAGCAAATGATAACTTTAAAATATTATTACTGGCACAGTTGTACAAAAGAACTAGATTCAGTTCTATGTTCTACACCATACTTTTTCAGTTCATCAGTATTTCCCAGTCACCCTATCCTTCGCATTCTCAACATGCACATTAAAATTAAAAACTGGTTATCTTGTATGTGTTTTTATCTCTGATAGTCTTGCATCTGCTATTGATGCCTTGGTTGCAAGAAACAGAAATAAATTCTAATTAATTTAAGAAGAAAAGTAGTAATTTATTGGAAACAAAGTTATTGAGAAAGACAGCTACTAAGACATCCCTAGATTCTCTATAACTGTTCAGTTCTCTACAAGGAGCTAATTTACTCCTAACTTGGCTCCAAGGATCCCTAAGCTCCTGACCATCCAGATTTTCAGAAGAAGAATCTAGTTGGCCTGGTCTGAATTAAGTGTCTGCCCTTACATCCATGGAGGATCAGTGTTCAACATACCTATTCACAAAGGGGGTAAAGGGCTGTGAACCTAGAAGCTGCTGTTACATTAAGCACATTTTAAAATATTCATATACTTTAAGGAGTTAAGTCTCTTGGTTTACCACACTGTTTCTTCTGTTAGACTTATTCTGGGTATAAGCCCAACAGCAATGAAGACTTACAAGAAGATGAACACACATAATCTGACGCTCTGCACTCGTCCCCACACATAAGAGTACTTTGTGATTTGTTCTTCATCCATGGACATGGGAGAGCCATTAACAGATTGGATGTTCCCAGTCGTTGAGACGGAATGAGGTTCCTCACTCAAAAGCACTACCTAAGGCATTCTGGTCCATTAAAATCTAAAAGAAAGGAACTGAACAGACACTTCACAGAAGAAATACAATCAATCCACGAATATATGAAAAAATGTTCAACATCTCTAACACTTGGAGAAATGCAAATTGAAACTACACTGAGATTTCATCTCATTCCTGTCAGAATGGCAATTATCAAGAATACAAGCAACAGGGGCTGGGGATGTGGCTCAAGCGGTAGCGCGCTCGCCTGGCATGCGTGCGGCCCGGGTTCGATCCTCAGCACCACATACAAACGAAGATGTTGTGTCCGCCAAATACTAAAAAAAATAAAGAATACAAGCAACAATAAGTGTGAGCAAGAATGTAGGGGTAAAGGTACACTCATATATTGCTGATGGGACTGAAAACTGGTGCTACCACTCTGGAAAGCATGGAGATTCCTCAGAAAACTTGGAATGGAACCACAATTTGACCCAGCTATCCTACTCCTCAGTTCAAACCCAGAGGACTTAAAATCAACATACTACAGTGACACAGCCACACTAATTTTACAGCAGCTCAATTCATAATAGCCAAACTATGGAACCAACATAGATGCCCTTCAACAGATGAATGGATAAAGAAAATGTGGTACATATACACAATGGAATATTACTTAGCCTTAGAGAAAAATGAAATTATGACATTGGCAGGCAAATGGATGGAGTTAGAGAATATCATGCTAAGCAAAATAAGTCAATCTCAAAAAACCAAAGGCCAGATATTTTCTCTAATATGTGGATGCTAATTCACAATAAAGCAGGGAAAAATATAAGTACTTTGGATTAGGCAGAGGGGAGTGAAGGGAGGGGAAGGGGTTTGTGGGTAGGAAAGATAGTGGAATGAATCAGCCATCATTACCCTATATACATATATGATTACACGGGTAGTATGATTCTACATTGTGTACAACCAGAAGAATGAGAAGTTATACTCGATTTATGTATGACGTGTTAAATGCATTCTACTGTCATGTATAACTAATTAGAACAATTAAAAAAAAGTTAGCAGAACCATCCTCCAAAATGTATCTGGTGAGATCCCCAATACGGCTCTGACAAGGAGACATGACCTTTCTATGTGATGGAGTATACATATAATATCTCTCTATATAGCTATATATTTATACATTATATATTGTATATATACAGTAATATATAAATATATATATTATATATATATATATATATATAGAGAGAGAGAGAGAGAGAGAGAGAAATCGACATATTTACTCTAAAAAATAGGATAAAGAGGAAGCAGGGATTCTGGATTGACATATGAAGACTGTCAAAATGTACAAATTTACTTCTTCAAGCAGCAAACGGGTCTACTGTTCCTTTATGTTGGGAAGGTTTCTTGATGAACTTGGTTTTGAATTACATGAAAAGACTCATACACAGTGAAAGCTTTGAGTCTAATGAGAAATGTCAAATGGAAAATGTAGGGAAAAAAGTCTTGTTCAAAAATCCCTGCTGATGAAACCTGAAATCAATATTGATGAATTTGGCTTGCCCAGATTTTGCTGAGTGGAATGAACTGGGTTGGGTGAAGTTATTTTAGCTGTATTTCCTCCACACGCCTATAGAGTTTTTTCCAGCGTTCTTCCAGCTACACATGTGGCATACATTTATTATTTACAATACACACACAGGAAGTGCTTGATTGATGAGATAACCCCTTTTTCAGAAAGATCTTTTCCAAATGGGCCTTTATACTGTATGTGTTAAATGAAGTACCATAAAGTCAGCAAGATATATTTTTTCACCGCTAGATTTTATTTCCGATAAAAATATTACAAGGGTGATTTTTTAGACAGTATGTGATATAAAATATGGTTACAGATAAATATAGATTGTGCCTCTAAATTTTTCTCTTACATGTTGTGTAGAGTGTGTACCTAGACTTATGCAAATTGAGAGAGGAGGAGAAAGAATGTGAATGAAAGAGAGGGGAGAGGTTGAGTGGGAACCGTTTCTGGAGAGAACACATTTATATAGTAGATCATTGCATTCATGTAGATTTTAATCCATACTCAGATATTTATATTTTGCTATGATGTTGAATGAGAACTATGAACATTTCAAGAGGCATCCGTGGAATTTCGTAAATGTTGTAAACTCAATGTTGAAATACTAGTATTGCCACAACAGGAATGTTCCCATTGAGTGTTCGAAAAAAAATTCTGTATTTGAATGAGGGAATAACTGTTAGGAAAATATCATATTTGTATCATTTGGTCTGCTATGAGCTATTAGTTTTAAATCTAAATACAGCTATGTCCTGCTTCAAACCTTACATATATATGTACATAACTATGCATGTATGTATATATGTGCATATATATGTATAAATTTTCTTTTTAAAAAATTCTTTCCCAAATCATTGCATTATGGACTTTCTCCCAACAGTACTCTCTCAGTATTACCTCATGGACAATTATATTGACAAAATACTCATATATTTACATGTATGTATGTGACACATACACACATGTAAATACATTTACATATGTACATATTTATTTATATGTAATATTTATTCATATATTCATTGACAAATAGAAACATGGGATATTATACATGAATATTTTTCACATATTTATACAGATAAATGTGTCTGGAATTTGTGATCTGACATAATAATATTTAACATACTTAACTACTAGCAATCATCATTCCAAATTACTACATGTATTCATTAATTTGCTATGCATGACAACGCCATAAAATAGGCATTATTATTGTTTCTATTTTATGAGTGATAAAACAAAGTCTCAGATTGGTTTTGTAAAGTGCCTTAAATCCCCTAGAAGACTCAGCCAAAGTGGTGACCCAGGGAACCAGAGGCAGGGCCTGCATGCTCACCCAGCGTGCCAGAGAGCAAGGTCGGCAAACTTGCTATAAAGGGCAGATGACACATATTTTAGGCTTTGTTAGCTACATGTGATTTGTCTTGCATTTTTTTAAACACTCATTTTTAAATGTCACTCAAGAATGATTACAAAAACAGGCCATGGGCCGGATTTGGCCCATAGAAGATAGCTTGCCAGACCTAGTTTATTGCCAAAATTTCTCATATAATAATTGTTAAAAAACATTTCTGCAATAAATATACAAACTGGCATTATTTTTATAGACATCTACTTTTTTTGACTACACAGTTTCATCCAAAGACCCTCCAGTCACCCTTTCTTGAGAACTGCCTTCTCATCATTTAACCACCCACATGGTTGGGCTTCTGATAGTCTAGTTCTTATAATGTCACCCCATGACACAGCCTCAGTTGATTGGTCAAGGGTGATCTGTGACCCAATTTGAGTCAGAGAATTACAAGTTTTACAATGTAAGTATTCTCCATCAATACTGAAGGTCCTTCTAAAAACCTAACTGGAGACTTTTCAACAATGGTGGTTTTTAACCACATGACTTGGAAAAGTAGGAAAAGCCAGTCTGAAAGGAGATAAAATATAGAGAAAGAAGATAAGAAATGACTGATGGAGAATGAATCCTGACAGTGAGTCTTTCATTCGGTTTGTTCCTTTTAGGAACTGAGAGCTTTTAGTAAACTGAGAGCTTATTTAAGTAAACAACAATTCATGAATTGGGCAGTTCCAAACCAGAAGGGGTTTAGGGAATGCAAAGGGGAGTCTTTTATAGTACGAACACAGAGGGAAAGAAAACATTTGATTGGTTATAGTCAGATAGTTACGTTACTGACAGGATCTATCCCATTGAGGAGTCTCTAGATGGTTGACTGTTTCTGATTGGCTAAGTCGGTTTTTCTTTAATAGAAGCATTTATAAGAAATGGCTCAAGTTAAGTTTTGCTAATATTTACAAATCAAGCAAGGTCATTGATGAGGCCTCATTGGCTTTCTCAATTCTCAGACCTCATCTCCATTTTCATTTACTTTAATAAGTAAAGATTCAATAAATGTATATTCTAGTGATTGTTTAAATTTTAGTAATACTCAAAAGGTGCCTGTTTATTTTGAAGAGGTTTTTAGTTCATGTAACTAGTTAGTTTAAAAATTCTTTATTTAAACCTGAAACTTTCCAAAAGGAAATAGATCACGGATAGAAATAAGGAAAAAAGGGAAATCATGTTGAAGAAAGGTTTTTTATTTTGGGTTTTTTTTTTTAGATGACTGTGCTTAAGTGAAGATGCAATGAATGTGACAACAAGGCTTTTATTTTTATTTTTTATGCTATTTAAAATAAATCAGGTTGCAACAATGCATATGGATAGAATTTTCAAATACTTTAAGAGCATGAAGTTGACATCCATGTATAGAATTAAACAAGGGCTATTTCTCCATCATACCTCCTTTGGAAGCCACAAAAAATAATCACACTTTCAGGAAAAATGTAAAAAATCACTGTTTTTCTAAATGTGTTTTGAAGAATGGACACGGGATCTGCCATCCTGGTGAGATGAGTCTCACTAGCTGCTTTCTTGAGTTTAGTTCCACCAGCCAAATGAATTGACTTGCATGGAGGGGATGTTGTATGGCAAAGTGATTTCTTTCTTTAAAAATTTCATAGGTGTAGTGTTTTTTTTTTTTTGTAAGCGAATAATCATATGGACTTTCCAGACTTTTGCCCTGTATCATCTTCCAAGGGCCAGCTTCATTACCTGTCCCCTTGAGCCCTCTAAATGGAACCAATGACATTGACGATAATTCACCCTCAAATATAGTTGGCCACAACACATTTGCTAGTGAATATTCTACATAGATGCCTGAGGACTTTTTATTTCAAACACAAAACACCAGAAGGCATATTCTGTCATTTCCGTAGCCAGTCTCACTTCATTTCCTGTACCACACAAGTGCCTTCGATTGCTCTTTAACTCTACCCTTTAAAGTCTAGAGGTTACTGGAAACAGTCCCATTTGAAAAGTTGGAATCCACATTTAAAATACAGAAACCCACTCTTCAAGGTTTGAAGGTATTTTTATTTGAGCATTCAGTCTATAATGACCATTGTCCATCAGTCACCAAACTACTTTTTTCTCCTGGGATCCTTATTCTTCCTTTCTTATTACATGGAATAACAGCTCTCCAGTACTCATTTCCTGAAGAAGATTACTTTTCAGGATCAGACGTCGCCAAAGAACCTTTTCCCAGTCAAGGACTACAAATCCACATAGTGGCTAGCTGTGGTGACTTTCCAGATGATACTAACTATAGGAGAAAATAAACAAGCAAGCAAGTCAACACGGAAGAGTGCAAGTGTTTGCCCAGCTTCTCCACTCAAATTTATGGCTGCTCATAAAGCAGCATTTTACTAGGTATCCTCATCTGAGAGTGAAAAGTTTAGCCAGAACAGTGATGCAACTCCCCAACCAGGATTTAGTTGCTCGCCAAAAAAAGAAAACAACATCTATGACTTAGAGAAAATTCATGTCAGTTAGAAGAGGGATGTGGAGTGTCTCAAAGGCTTTCAAGAGACCCCACTTGGTTGTAGGTGACTGCTTAACACAGAGAGTCACTCAGGCATGATCCAGACCCTAGATATAAATCCACACCCATGAAGTGGCTATCTTATGAAGGGGAGAAGGGATAAGGCAGTACATGACTTGGAGACAGTATCTGACTTTGAATCTGGAGTTTAGGAGTTAGATCTGGACTTGCTAGCTGATTGCACTGACAGGATATTCGACTGAGTGAGGGTCCATTTGTTCTATCTGTTAATGAAGTATCATATCTGGTTCATAGTCTTGATTCAAGAGCTAAATGAAAACAGTCTGGGAGGAAATGTGCAGCCAGTAAAATAGGCACACAGCAATGAATCAGATATTTCTCTAACAGCATCCATAGGGCAATGACAACTTGGGCCAACTCAAAGCAGCTGAAAAGCACAGCTGGCATGGCCACCAAGTCAGTCCATGGAAAAATGCAAATCCACACCAAGATGTCTTCCTCAGTGAACTTCTCCTGCAGCTGGGAATTAAAAGGATTTCTCTATCTTTAATTTATGTGCATTAAGGGGATAGAGAGATGCTATAATGCAGATGGTATACACTTAAAACCCAATGACATTATCAGGGAAAAGTCCCTCTAT